CCCGGTTTCGCCGTTGTCAAAAAAATTTCAAAAATTATCAAACTTTACCGTTTCGTCCCGTCCGTGGTCCAACTTTTGCCCACAACTCAGCATTCTTGTGATAAAAAATTGAGGGTTAATGTCGCGGACAGTCGCGAGGCGACCGCAAGACCGCCTGACTGTAAACTGTAAATGAATATTGGCCTCGGGAGGGGACGAGCTGCGAGCCGTAGCTGGAAATCCCCTTAAAGCTCGTAACTCGCAATAGAAAGCATAGGGAACACCATCGAGCTGGTTGAAATGCGGTGTCAGCCAGGGCACGTCCTATAATGGGGAATCCCCAGCCTAGGGTCGTATTTGAGCGCTGGAGAGAGGGGTGGGGTCGTATTTAGTCTGATGTATAAAAATTTTTTGATAGTTAATTTTTCTTTTTAAAACTGGAGCTATCCACATTGTTGGGAAAATACCCCAAAGGAGGGAGAGAGTCGCATTCCTCTGTGAGAAACTTGCGCTTTCAGGTTGCTGACTTTTTACGATTTTCACATTTCTTTAGCGCTCTATACCCCGCCTTTCCGCCCCTCCTGGCCTTAATTGACAAGGAAATTCCCGGGAAAAAGTGGGGAGATCTTTGAGAACTTGCCATAAAAGTGGTAGTCAGCGTAAAAAAGTTGAAAAGTTGGCAAGAGAGGCAAGACGTTAGGTCGCCTTTTTAGTTGGGGGGAGGGGGTGGAGATCGTAGCACAGGACGAAGTTGAGAGGGAGACGTATTTCCCGAAACTTTTCCTCAGCAGCAGGAAGCGTCTTGTTGACAGCGCGACCCCTTCTCCTCCCAAACTCTCTATTCCCTCTCCATCCCAACTGTCTTCCTGCCTAATCTTTCCAGTATAATAGCGTTTCAATTCCTCCGGGATTTTTTCTGATGGGAGGGGGGAGGGAAGAGTGAACCTCTCCAACCAACCATCAGGGGTAGTCCTTGATCGTATTGTCTTTGCAGCGGCACCCGCTAGGGGGAATACACTACTAGTGCAGTGCCACCGGCTGCGCGGAATATATAGTGCGCTTGAAACGGGAAAGTTCACAATGGGGAAAGTTGTCGTTGCGGATCGGAGAAGTTCCTTTTGTGCACTGACATCGAATACGGTCTCCTCCCACTGACCAAATACGACCTCCCGATGGAATTCGCCTAATGATAATAAACCCTGCTTCCGTACTGATTACTGACTGCTAGTGATGCGCCAGGCGTTTGACTCTTCGACTGCCTTGATGCACGATTGTAGTGATGCGCCAGGCGTTTGACTCTCAGACTGCATGCTGTGCCAAATGAACATTCTGATGACCGCCAATGTACAGAGATCCATTCCATTCTACGAGGGTTTAATTAGGCAATTACAGAAACTTGTTGAGATGGTACGATCCAGGATGAGCCGAGCAGTTTGACTTGCCTTCTCGTAACCGATTTCTTACAGTTTCAGTGCTCACGGTATTCCGCGTGCATATGTATCCGAGGGACTCCGACGGGTCTTATGGTTATTACTATTTCTAGCCTGTTTGTGCGCCTTCGGCTATCAAGCGTATCTGATTGTTATGAGGTTCTTCAGGTGAGTATTTCTTTATTGAAGGCATAACGCACGATAATTTGGTACTTGGGTTCTTGGTCTTAAAAATTGTAGCAGGAGTCAAAATGTCTCTGTATTTCTCGCTTCCCCAACCTTAAGCAGGGTTCTCCCCCCCCCATCGCAGGCATTGTGTCAGGGGGAGGCAAAGTTGGCATGGAGTCAGAGTGTTTTCCGGCCGATTGCATGGCCGCTTGCCAGCTTCTACAATTGGTGGAGGACGGGCTCGCGCTGCGCCATATCCAACCAGCCCACCCCCTTCTCCCTCCTGGCATATCCTAGCATCATCAGAGCACTGTACCAGTTTTGCTCAACACAGACGGGAGTGGGGGGGGGAGGGGAGGGGACGATCCACAAGTAGAAGATGCTGGGGAAGAAACTGTGATTTGATGAATCCATGCTTGACAAATTTACATTCTGCCAGCATTTCAGGAATGATATCATTGTCGGCGTTGAAATACGATTCGAAGAAATGCGTTTTCCAGCTGTTACTATCTGCAATATTAATCCGTACAAAAATTCTCTAGCTCGTGAATCGCCTCCAATTAGAAGCGCCGTGAGTTCATCCTTTGGTCGTTCGTAGGGCTCCGCTCATAGTTTACGACACCGGCGATCGAGCTACAAAAGCGATTTGACGATTTCGCGATTTGCTGTGGAGCGCGCTTGTCATCACTGTAGGTCGAAACCAGTTCTCGCGCTCCAGTGTCAATCTCGGTGAAGTCTCGAGTCGTATGAAGTGGGCAGCTAAGTCATGGCATCTTCTGGTGAGAAAGGTGCAAAAAGTATGAGGAGAACCAAGAGGTGGGTATTTTCGAAGGAAAGGAACTCCAGAGTGGGTTAGGGAGGAGGGAAGGGGGGGGGGGAGAGGGCGGAGGGGTACTTTCAGGCGGAGATACTCAGTTCTTCACCAGTTCTTGAAGGAGGTAGCGACAATAATTGGTAGAAAACGGGCTAGCAGCGCGAACCTAGCTTCTCTGACAAGCCCCAGCATTCGCAATGAACATGACTATGTGGTGCTTTAGAAGATGGGATGTGCAAGTTCACAGTGGTCATACAACGCCAGAGACGAGAGAGTGCAGAGAAAAACAGAAAATTGGCGCGCCTTTCTGCTTTTCTCTGCACTCTCTTGTCTACGCGGCGATTGTAGAATAGAGATTGAGTTCTGGTAACCCATAGATCAAACGCGCGACCAAATCAATGCGCATTCCAACGGCAAAGGAGTCGCGGACTATGAACGCAGTTCACTCTCAGCATTGTTAGACTTCGTGCTCCACCAGAGTATTTTAGCTGGAATCTTTCGAATTAGCCATCGGTCGGTCAAACGGAGCAAGTCTACAGCAGGACGAGCGCCAAAAACGGTAACTTCACTTCATTTACTGATAGCTTTTTCACACAAGGCTTACTTTGTCCAGATCAGTCA